GTTGATGCAGTACTGGCTGTGCTACTTGTTGAGCTACAGACATTCGGACAAGTTGCGGCTCTAATCTTTGGGCACTTTCTTCGTCTAAAAGTTACGCAGATTTCATTTGACCGTTTTTTTATTATCACTATGAATTGATTTAATAAATCTTACCTGCATCGGCAACGACGAATGGTTACTGTTTTTGTTCCGGTATTAGATGATGACCTTTTTGATCCACGACGATGTAAAAGACCTCTGAAATGTGGATCTGATTCTGCTTCTGGATCCGGTTCAGCAATAACATAGGCCTATTCAACGAAAATTCCATATTCACACTGTCTGTACTTGTTCATATGTATTATCGTATACTTACAACCATGACAAAAACAACTACCATGAATATCAATGAAAACTTCATTTTTTAGAGAATTATAAATTTCCAAAAAAAAAGGGAAAAATTTGCTTCACTATTTAATGTGTTGGATGCCAAATTGTGAATAATATATTCTGAAATTCTGTTGTCTTTTATATCGATTTGAAAAATATTGATAGAAAATAGTGTTTTTTATACGATAACTGTAGGTAGTTTGACGTCATGCGCTCGAAAGTGTGTTATCCAAATCATTGTCACCTGATTTTATGAGTTAACTGTACACTTGCCAAACTTAGTATTTATTTTACCATCCACAACTAAACATATTCAAAACAAATAATAAATAAAATCAAAGATACAATGAAAAAGTATATTCAAATACAAATCGTGCAATTAAATCGTTCAATTTCAAATTGACTGAAATTAAATCAGTCCAAATATTGATATCAAGGAAATATTATTTGCAAAAAATAAAGATATTAATCTAATTACTTGATATTGAATGTTGTTTACTTGTTTCTAATACTAATTTGATGACAATTGCCACACACTTTCAATCTAAAAACGTATTGAATAATGAAACAGCCATATTTTTTGTTTATTTATTTAATGAAGGAAGAATTGATTATTTAAAGTTGCAGGGATATTCAAATGTATTCATAATAATGATCCAATAACCTTTGGCAGAAATTCTAGGATTTTTAAATTGTTCTAAAAAAAATTGGAAAATTATTTCAAAAAAATTCTCCCGCCGTAGTCGATTTTCTCCAAGTAGAACACATTTTCAAATTTTTATACTAGATACAGATTTTATCATCCAATCGACTTTTACCGCTAGTAGCGATGAATGAATTACGGTAACGGAAATTTGTGCATTTCACGATGCTTTCTTAATTGGGTACTTTTTGAAAGACATCATAAAGAGATCGTTTTTTATAGCTTGCCTGTTTGATGCGAATTTAACTTTATTTTTAATCTATAAATACAATTGTAAAAAATGTATAAATATTGAATTGTCTTTCGACTATTGAATTATCCATGAAATATTCTGGAACACCTGGAAAAGCTGGATGACAAAACAAAGAAGGACTCTTTCTTCGGCCGATTAACTTGATATTGACACAACGGTTGCGACGGAAGCAGAAGTTGCGACGGAAGCAGAAGTTGCGATGGAAGCAGAAGTTGCGACGGAGGCAGAAGTTGCGACGGAGGCAGAAGTTGCGACGGAAGCAGAAGTTGCGACGGAAACAGAAGTTGCGATGGAAGCAGAAGTTGCGACGGAAGCAGAAGTTGCGATGGAAGCAGAAGTTGCGACGGAAACAGAAGTTGCGGCGGAAGCAGAAGTTGCAGCGGACGCAGAAGTTGCAGCGGACGCAGAAGTTGCAGCGGACGCAGAAGTTGCAGCGGACGCAGAAGTTGGACTAGTCGAGCCACCGCTTGGACTGAAAATAATTCGTAATTAAATTTGAATGTCCTGTTTTAGCAATAAATCAGATAAGGTGCTTGTCATTACCTTGTGGCCGGTTGAGAAACGCCATTTGTTGGAGTCTCTCCTGGGCCTATTAGTATTTATCAAAGTTGGAGTTGAATTTTAGAATAAAATATTTACAGGGATGTGAAAATAATTGTATAATTTACTTTGTGTGATTGCTCCTGCACTTGGACAGTAAGGAACATAGACGATCTTTGTTTCCTTGCATACTTTTGTTTTCGGGCATGTTTTCCTCTTATTCTTCCTATTCCCCTTCTTCTTCGTATTCTCCTTATTCTCCTTATTCTCCATATTCTCCATATTCCCTGTGGTTTTGCAGCAACCACAACGCTTTCTCTTTGATTTTGATGACTTATCACGAATTCTCAAGATCATACGTTGACCTTGTGGGTTTGAAGAACCTCTTCTTTGAAACATTCTGTTACTTGAACCACTTGAACGACTTGAACCACTTGAACCACTTGAACCACTTGAACCACTTGAACCACTTGAACCCATTGAGCGTCTTCCAAACATACCTGCTAAACCGCTTGAAAGTTGAGCCGACGGATCAGCTAATGCTTCTGGCTCTGGCTCGGGCTCTGGCTCTGGTTCAGCTTCTGCATATACCTATTTAAAAAATAATAATCAATTCAGCATTTTTACTGTAAGATTAGAACATTTTTCTCACCGTAAAGGCAATGGAACACAAAATCAAACAAACTAATGTAATTTTCATCGTTTCGCGTTTTTTTTGTTTCAGATCGACTGGACAACAGAATCGATTGATAACTTTTGGCTGAATATCTGCGCTTTATATACTCGAATGCTACAATGCATCTTAACCAAATTGTCAATAAAATATGTTTATTTTTCAAACATATCAATTTTTTGCAATGCAAATTTGCAAAAGACAAAATAATGACCGAGATTTAGAAATCACAATTCATGTACCTGATTTAATCGCATGGTCTAGATTTCCGCTTACTTTCACTTGAATTCCAAAATTAGATAGAATTTTAATTGAATTATGCATTGAATGTTCTGGTTTGAAATGCACAAATATTGACTTCTTATACATCTCAATTTTCATTTGGTAAACAAACATAAGCCCTCGTAACACATTTTCTTCGGTGGACGCAATGAACGATTAATCAAACACATCCAAAAATTAAACATATCTGTTTTGTTAGCCAATTAATTCTGTGAATAAGAGTAGATTATTCAAATTGAAACAAACAAAAATGCGATTTTTTTTTTAATTTACACAAATGTTCTGTTCATTTGCAAAATCAGTATCATCGCAAGCCAATTCTTTTAGTTAAAGCTTTGTCAAATTCTGAATGATGCAAATTGGCCAAAGCAAGTAATTATCAAATAAATTATACCTCGATTTCCAAACCCTTCCATTTTTAGAAATGCAGAAAAGAGAATTCAAAACAAATTTCAAACAAAAAATATTGAACATCATTTTATCATTTATTGAAACATGTAGTAATAAACAAACTGTAATAATCGCAACAAAACTTAACTCAATCCAATTCGTTACTCGTACTGTCTAATCTACGGCTGCTGTAGAATGAATTTGCATCTGGCATTGTATACAGCAAATGTAAACAGTCAGGAATTAAATACCGGTTGCTTGTCATTGACTCAACGTCAATTTGAATAGTTCACGATTTTAAATTATTATTATTTTTTTGTTTAATTATGTGTTAAAGGTATTACGATAGGTAATGCAATAGGCTAACTTAATAATAGCTTAGATGAACTGAATTTAATTTAAAATGACAAAATTCATGGCATTTCGGATCAGTGGTTTAGCGTTTAAATGACTTAATCCAGGGATGTACCATCACATCTGGCAAACTGGGTCGGGCACTGTGATTCTTTTGCAGTAGCTGGAAAAGAGCAATAAAAATAATTGTTGTGTAAATATTTTTTGACAAATTAAATTGCCGTCTTCAAAATTTACCATCGAAATAAGATCCTTGGCTCCGATTGACAAATAGCTTGGATATTCGATTTCCAATCGTCGAATTTTCGCGTATGTATTTTCGGAGTCCGGCGATTCAAATGGTGGTTTACCCACTAAAAATTCATAACACAAAATTCCCAAACACCATTGATCCACGGTATCGTTATAAGAATGGCCTTCCACCCTAAAGAGAAATCACATTTTAAGCATTAAAAAAATGAATATTTATCTATTGCATTTAGTCCAAAAATTCTTCGATTACCCAAAAATGGATGTTTAAAAAAAATGTTTTTTAACCGAAAAAATAAAGAAAATGGCTTACATTTCTGGCGGTAAATAATCAAGTGTTCCGCACATGGTTTTGCGTTTATTTGACTGTGTATGTGCTGACCATCCAAAATCTGCTAACTTAATTTGATCGCCAACTGTTAGCATAATATTCTCCGGCTTTAAATCCCGATGAATGACATTACTTAAATGACAATAGTGCAATGCATCAGCCACTTGATAGGTGTATCGGGCTGATCGTTCCTCTGAAAAACGTCCGTTTGGTGAATTTTGTAAATGTTTGTATAGCTCACCCTCCGAAGCCAACTCCAAGGCCAAGTAAATCTTACGATCGTCGTGGAACCATGTGTACAATCGTAGAATGTTTGGGTGCCTGTTGATTAAAATCATGAAAATGTGTCAATTTGGTAAAAAAAATGCTTTGTCAAATACAAAAACTCACTTCAAACGCGATTGAATTTCAATTTCACGCAACACTTGCTTTTCAACTCGACCACTTGTAAGTTCTGACTTAAACATGATTTTCATTGCCACCATAAAGTGTGTTTTTCGTTCACGCGCAACATACACACGGCCAAACTTTCCCTTGCCTAATGGACACCCCAGTTCAAAATCATCTTTTGACCAGTCGTAACTGTGTAAAAGTAAAAAAAAAACAAATCAGATGATATAAACCAGATAAAATGTTATTTGAATGGAACAAAACATTCGAATATCATAAATAACAGCAAATGTGATTGATTATCATGACTTACGGCAATCCATAGGCTTCGTGTGACATCATTTTTTGTTCCACTACTGCAGCGTATGCGTTTTCTTTATCCTCACGACTACTCTTCGACATTTTTTTTTCATAGACTTTGACTTTTCCGATTAATTAACGATAAATTAAAAACTTAATCGAACAATATGCAACAAAAACAAATAAAAAATTACGAAATTATTATACGATCACAATTGTTTTGTGAGTACGCTTCGTTATGAGACAGCAGTTGGAAAAACGAATATTTGAAACACAAAGGCTATGTGACAGTTTGTGTGAATGAAGCCGCGCTGTCATTAGTTCGCGCAAAAAGATGGCGCCAAAGTCACATTTTCGACGTTCCATTTTTCTTTTGTTTACAATCATCAGTTCATTTAACACACATTTTTTTTAAACTAAGAAAATATTTTTTTTTCCTTTTTGAAAATCAAAGTTGTTCACATGTATTGAACTTAATGAATTTCGAAAAAATTTCAGAATATTAACAAAAGTGTGCTATTATAGGGTTTCATTCAATTTCGAATTTCCATGCGTTCTATTTTTTCAATTTCGAATTCAGATTGTTTTTTCGAATTGCCACTTTAATGTACTGTGAATTCATTTAAATATTTGTTGTCAGGCCAATTTCGTTTTTATTTTTTTTGTTGTTTGCAAATAAAATATGGAAAAGAATATTTAAACAAAAATTAAATGATACCTCGTTCCCATTAACTCACCTTCATTGAAGAATTCTTCATTCAAATGAATTCATTTATGATATCACGCAATTTTAATTTGAAGTTTTCAACTATCCAGCATCATAATCGGTCTAACTCTGTCTTGATTCTCTTTTGTTTCGCTCAGATTAAAAAAAAAATATGTTTAGTTTTATTAACTGTTATATTTATTTTTGTAACAAAACAGGCACTAGGTTTTATCTGCTCAGTAAAAGATTGTAATGTCACATCGACCAATTATTTATTGTACTTTATTTCCTTATGAATATGTCTTAAAAATGTGAAAGAAAAATCTCGACTTCAATTCCGCATAATGAAATAGCGAATTATTGTTCGTCTTGAACACGAATTCTGTGCTGTGTAAGGAAAGCAAGATCAAAAATAGCCTCTTGTTTCAGTAATTCATCGATTTCATACTTCAGAGACTCATCATATGCATATACAAGGCTCGTATCGTACAGCATAATTTTGCATTGTGCCAATGCCAATATGCAATTTCTAAGTCGAACAATAACTTCACGATCGGCCCGTGCGACGGGATCGCTTAAATTTTGTGTGAATCCACCACTTCCCTCAACGTCCGTATTAGTTGTTGGTGAAATCCAAATGAAACCATTATTACCCAGTATCACCGATGCGCCACATGTCAAATTATGGAAATGTGTTTTACAGCGTTTGATTAGTGACGGGAATACTTTCACTAAAATGCCTTGTGATAATTTGCCGTATTTCAAACTTCTGGTATGCAATGACAGACTGCCGTCGACGTACACATTTTGTACTTCAGCTGATATCAAATCGCCTTCTTGTAAAAAACTACGCATCATCTGTTCATCTTCTGCACAACGCCGTCGTAGTTCGCCTGTTTTTTTATTGAAAATGTCCCAAATATTCGATCAGTGTCGTGAAGTAATTAAGAAAAAACTATGAAATTGCATTACCTCCAGGCAAATTAACGGCTGCCAGCAGTAAAATTGAATCTAATCGTGAATTGGTATTGACCTTCCATCGTTTTTGTTGCACTTCAGTGATTCGTGCCACAACTACATCACCAATTTCACCAACATATCGACTTTTGAGTGGACGTATTGATATTAGTTTGTTAACTTTTTCCATAACGCCAGCCACTGATGCTTTGATTTCATCATTTTTTACATATGTTCCATGGCCCCTGAAAATTGATCAAAAAATACAATTCAATACTATTTTGTAATTGGACGCAAAGAAAATGACCATTCAATCAAAACACATACCGCATAAATCCCTGTTGTGATGTTATTACTTCACCGGGTGTGAAAAGCCGTGGCATCGCATTGTCTGTGTGGAGTGTTGTATTAATACGAGTTGATGCTAATCGCATATCAATATTTGTCGACATTTTTCTGCAGATTTTCGCTTCTTTTTAAATAAAAACACATAGACTCATTTAAGAAACTGTAACCTTATGGAAAATTTGACTTTTTGAGGTTATGTTATGACATTCATGGGTGAAGTACTGAAATCATTTCGAAAATCTATTGTCAAATGAAACTTCAAATTCGATTCGATTGTCTGCGACAATATCAGAATGATTTTATTTTATTTTAAGCAATCTCTAGTCTACAGATTTTGAACATATTTTTACTTTGTCTCATCAGATGAATTATCCTTTTTCAATAGATCGCTGGTGATGCCGACTTTTTTCAATTCTTCAATTAATTCACCACTTTGATGCATTTGTAATAGAATATCGCAGCCACCAACAAATTCTCCATCGATAAACACTTGCGGTATTGTCGGCCAATTGGTGAAATCCTTGATGCCTTGTCGAATCGATTCATTTTCCAAAACATCGTGACTGTCATACGAAACGGCATGCATTCGAAGAATTTGAACAACAGCATTGCTAAAGCCACATTTCGGCGCATCTGGAACTCCTTTCATAAAAACAACGACTTTATTTTTTTTCACCATTTTTTCAAGTTGCTCCTTCGATATAGTTTCAGTCGAAAAGAATCGAAACGCTGTTGTCCCATTGCGTACTGTTGCCATGGTATTAACTGGGTTTATTAGACGGCTAGCCGCCAATCGAACAATTCCAAAAACCATTTTGAATGTGTTCTACAATTGAAATGGAAAATGGTATATGCGTTGTGTGTTGCACAACACAAAATACCAAATATAATTAAAATTAACAGACATATGATAATGGAATATACATACACAACTGTTTTGCTATTAAATAACACTAAAAGAATATAGCCTTACTTAAAATAAATTGCAACCAAATAAACCGCAAAAAAGTGTGAGAACTTTTATTTCTAATTGATTTGATGAATATGTTTATGTGCACGAATGTTAGTATTGTGTCAAAGTGGGCCGTTGTAAGGTTTCATTCGAAATTCAACTATCTACTTATTTATTATTCTTTCGAAGATCCATTTTGACATTTGCTATTAAATACGTGTGTGAGTTAATTTTAGTGAAACATATTTGTTTTCATACTTTGTTTGTCAATATTATCAAATATGGGAAAGAATAAAACAAAGTCAAATAGTAAAATAAGTGATAAACGTGTCAATACCACGTCACCAAATAAGGTGAAAAAGAGTCCAAAACCCCAACCAATCACCGAGAAATTGTGTGCTGTTATCAAATCGGTTGGATTGCCTGAAAGTGCTGATGGTTTAACTGCTGATCAATTGACGGAAAATCAAAAACATGTTTTGAAAAAGGTCTGCGCCAAAATGTACGGTCACCAACATTCAGAAAAACGAAAATTACCAGCACACTCATTGGAATCGGCCACGGGACAACTGGAACAAATTATGAAAGAAAAACTTGCCCAACGAAAGAAAGAAAAGAAAAAACTAAAACAAAACGCTACACCTTAAAAGCATTTATTTTTAAATACCTTTTTTATTTCATCACATAAAAAACAATTAAAATGTCATAAAAAAGATTATATACATGATTCTTTTCACAAGCAATTAAATACAGATATGCACAAATTCATAATAAAACATTTTGATTCTTTTGTCTTGGTCAAATGGTACGTTTCGCTCGATCGTTCAGTGGTCGGTAGATGCTGAACCGATATGTAAGTATTCACATAAGAAAATTCCGATAATTTTATTTAAATTGGTGACCGCGGCAAAATCAATTGCACGTAAGTCATCGGATGGTGTGTGCCACACTTCTGGGAACGGTGTTGGAATTAGGTGTAAAATTCGAACCTAGACAATTGACAAAAATGCTTAATAATTATTTGCTTGAAAAAAAGTAGGTAGCCAAAGTAATTACATCTCTTCTAAGGAATGGAATGTGGTCATCTTCAATTTGCATGCGAATTGAATACGGTTGGAAATAGCCTTGGTTACGTTTTTGATGTTGAATTGTTGCGCTATTATGAGCATGTTCAACTAATTGGCCAGCTGCGCCGAGTCTTGATTCAATATCAGCCATTTGATAGTACCAGCCCTCTGTTTCCGGGAAATAACTGTAGAAAGTTGGTTTTGGTGCGCCCAATAAATCCAAAAGTATCATTAAATCCTGCAAATCGATTGAATTTATTAAATCCATCCAAACAAAGTGTTTGAGGGTGAAAATGAGTGTTAATTACAATTTTATCTAGTTCATGTTCTGCTTGCCATTTTTTGGCCAATTGTCGTGCACCATAGATTGAATCTTTTGCATTCCATTCCACAAACGCTTCTTCACCATCAAAGAAAATATATTGCAAGCTTATTTCCGAATCATGTAAGGATTTAAATTGTTCTTTCAATGTTGTTGCTATGTTCATCATAATCGCACACGGAACGGCTGAGTCTGTCGCTCCAACAAAGTTTTCCATCAGTTTGGAATCGTAATGGCATGCCAATGTTAAATATCTTTTTGCGTTTGGATTCACTTTCGCAATGATATTTGTAAATTTTAAACGGTCCAATGGCGTATCGTCAAAAAATTCGTGTTCATCAACCGTCCAACCGAGATTTTTCATATAATTTACAATATACTCTCGAACCATGGCATGATTTGGTGTACCAACAACACGTTCGACTAATATTTTCGATAAAACATTGTGTACGGCTTCAATGTCACCTAATTTGTTATTAAGTTCCCAAAACTGTTGCTGATCAACCACTTTTGGTCGATGGTTTTGCTGTGCAATTATAAATATGTAAATAATTAATTGTTTATTTTTAAACTAACATATGTTTTGAATAAATTCAGAAAATTGAAATTTTCGTTTATAGCCTTGGGTCGAATTTTTTTTACCTGTGCCACACGCAACGATGAAACATGTTGAAAATTGCTAACTGATCGGCAACCAAATGCACAAATAATTATGCAAATTGTCCAAATACCTGGAAATTCCATTCTCTTTTTTACACACCAAACTTTTGCTTAACAATTTACTTTTGCACAACTTTTTTTTTCTTATTGGACACTAAATACATGTCATAATCCGAATATTCTATGCTAGTAGCTATGACCTGTTATTTTGACGCTGGGAAATTTTGACGATCGAGCAGAGCGATTGTAAGAAACGATCTTTTTGCACCGCTGTGATATTGTAAAATGTTAAAGTTACACAAGTAAACACAAACGTTTGCTGATTTTGTACAAAAGTGTGTATACATAGCTCTCTTTTACACTTACTCTCTCTCTATCGTCATAGCATACGATGACAGACAGCTGAAGAAACCTTCCAAATGTACAACATATTAAAAATCTATGGTGACAATGTGAAGTTTTTTTTCGAAATTCAAATGTGCTGAAAATGTTGGCAAAGAGATGGCGTAGTTGTTAAATTTAAACGGCTGAAAAGTGTGAAGAGAATTCTCAAAATAAAAACACAAAAGTTATTTTTTTTTATTCATGGTAATTTATTGTTTTTCATTTTTCTTTATTTTCTGTTTGTTTTTTTTTTTGTCATCTTAAAAACCCTAGAACAGGCAATTTTATCATTATAATAGTAATAATTCAGTAATAATAATACTTGTGTGAGTGTGTGTTTTTCATATAGTTTTAAGTAATTTATTTTTTGTGTTTTTTTTCTAGTTTGTTTCTCCGTCTGTAGAAGAAAATTTAATTTAAATTCTCCGAATGATTCAGTTCAATGAGAAAGTAATCGACACGGCGCTTGTGGGTATGTGAATGTGTGTGCTTGGTAAATTTTGTTATAAATGTTTATCATTTGCATTGCGCGTAATTTGTGTGTCTTGTGTGTGTGTGTGTGTTGATTTTGGTTGCTGAAGATTTTTTTTTTGCTGAATTAGGTCATGCTGCTTTGTGGATTAAATTCAAATATCGATTCTTAAGAATACAATTGTCTATAGTATTAATCATTCTAAAGTTTTATTTTGTCGGTGTAAATTCAACGAAACATAACATTTTTTTATGGATTCAATTAAATTTATTTGTTTTGTTTTTTTTTCTTTCATTTTTCAATTTGTTACTTGTCCTTACCACTAATACTAATAGTATTTTTGTTTGTTTGTTTGACATAATCATCTTTCATTCCCTCAACGAATACATAAAATATTCTATATGCTCTTCTTTAAATGTTTGTGTTATTTTCTTGTTTAATTTTTATTTGTCAGCTTTTTGGTTCTAAATTTTATCATAATTTTTCGTGCGTTTGAACATTTAACTGTCGAATCATTTTTTAGTTTTGTTTCTTTTTTTCTTGTAATTATATTTTTCTCATTCGTTTTGTGAGCGTAAATGTGTGTCTGTGTGGTGAAGGAAATTGGAATTTGTGATAAAAATGAACATTTGATCGGTGCAAAAATCCAAAAATTGGAATATTTCGTAACAAAGTGTGATCAATCGAATCGAAAACTGTAAACGAAAAACATAGTGTAACGGAACTATTTTCGACTTGAACACAGATTTTTTTGTTTCTTCGTTGTTTCAGATTATTGACCGCTATTTGGATGTGTTTTGTGTATGTGTTTACTTGGTTTGTAAATACGTGTGATATTGTGGTAAATGTAGCGGTTGTATAAAAACAACAGGAACCATAAAGAATTTAATTTGCAACTGGTGAATTTAATAGACGATTGTCTGTTGATTGATTCAAATTGGGTGCAAATAAATTCATAATCAATTGAATATTGCATTTATGTTTTGTTTCATTTATGCGTGTTTAGTGAAAGTGTGAGTGTTTCTCAACGTGTTGCTTTGCTAAAAGTGTTTTTCTTTCGTTATCGAAAATTGTTTGCTGAAATTGTGCAGTTTTTTTTTTGTTCACTATATAATTCATAAAAATTGAAAATCGTTTTGCATTCTGCGCCAAAACATTGTTTTCTCTCGACCATTCGTTCGATACTTAAGATCAATAGAGAGAAGTGTGTGCAGCTTCTCATAACAGCTTCATGTCTCGTTTTAGGTTTTTTTTCTTCAAATATAAAACTATTCTCGTCAATATGACGAAACGATTAAATCTGCTATCATCGCGTCATTTCGATTACAGTTTTACATATATAATATAATGCTGATTCATCCATAATAATTTTTTTTATTTGTATATTGTTGTCATTCTTGTTGTGAATGTGTGTTTGTGTGTTGATGTCGGGTGGTTGCGGTTGATAAAAATGTATGAACACAGTTAGAGCCAATATAATTGAATGGTGCTTTTTCTCGTTCACTTCTCAGAACAATGCGTATGATGCGCTGCACTGACCACATGTCGTGAGTAATTGTGACTGAAAATTGCATACATACACACACACACGCCAATCGGACACATTATAAGAATATAATAGTGTATTCAATTGATTCAGTCTGTGTTCATACAATTTCCGTTTCCTTCCTTCCCGTTTTTCATTAAATATTACACATTTTCTCCATTTTTTTCCCTTGTTTAAATACTTCACTAAATATATATTAACTGAAACATTTTCACGCTCAATTTCATTCAATACCCATATTCATACATTCTCGCTCGATTGTTTCCATTTTGTCTAGTGTGTGTGTGTGTGTGTTTTTTTTTTGTTCTTTTGCAATAATAACCCTAAATAAGAATATTTATTTTTATTTTATTTCAATAATTTTTTTCGTGTTGGATTTGTATTCCAATGTTTTTTTTTTTTGTATTTGGTTTTTTGTCATTTATCTATAACGTAACAAATATATATTATACATCATTATAATAAATTTTTAATATGTTTCCGTTTCTTCTCTAGGTTTTTTTTTCTTCTTCATCTTTATATCCTTCCTTTTTGTTTCTTATATCTCCATTTAAATGTATGTATTTCGTTTTGTCTGTTGTCATAACTGTTTATATTATAATAAATATTCTCTATAGTAACCTCTTTTGAGCGATGTGCAAAGAATATGAATCGGAATCGATTCGCCGATTTTTGGTCATTGGCACTCGAAATCGAAATTATATCGACCGTCCCATGACTTTATCTCACCCTCTTTCGATCTCGCTTTCCTTACTATGTATGTATATATACTCATTTTTTTTATATAGATGTATTATGTTCTTGTTAGTTGTGTAGTTTGCAAAATACATTTAAAAAAATGAAATGCTTATTGGATGAAATTGAGTGTTTTGTATATGTAAAAAATATACACAAAAATCAACTGGAAAAAAAATCGAATCATTTCTTTTCAGTATGTATGTATGATATAGAACATTCAGTGTATAAAACTTCTGTAAAATGAAAACAGAATACAACATAGAATTGTCTGGAGAATTTGGGGTAGAGAAAAGGAAAGGGCGCTCTTATTTCTTCATATTTTTTTTCTCTTAAAAACGTGCATAAAAATGTATGTTATGTGTGCGCAGAATGAACCAATTCCTCTTTTCGTTTTGTAGAAAGTTGAAGAATTTTATCTTGATTGGTTTTTATTTAAACTAACATTATGCTTTTTTTGAGGTACTTCAACTCTTTTAACGCTTTTGTTTGCTTCTTAAAATGTATCAGTGTGCATTTGATAAAATGCAGTTTCACCTACTAGTTTCCTAATTTTATTTAGCAAAAAAAAAGCTCGTATTTCTCAACGATTTCTTTTTTTTCTTTTCGCACGGCGAGACAGTAAAACACAGAACTCAAACGAAAATAAAAATGCTAAGAGTTTTTTGGATTGTAAATACATTTAGAGACAGAAAATGAGTGTACAATACATTTGTTTATGTTTTTAACTATAGATTAGTACAGTGTGGAGTGGTTTTTTGCGTTGTTAGTAAAATTTATCTATTTTTTTTTCATTGGGTTTGTCTTAGCCCTGGGGACTTTGACAATATACATATAAATAACATTAGTATGTGTGTAGATGTAAAATACAAATCCGTCAACACCAACAACAGCAACTACGGTTAGAATTATGAATATAATCTAGCTTTGTGTGTGTGTGTGTGTGTGTGTGGATGGGAAGGGGGTTTAATCTTATAATCTGTTGTCGTATATGTGTGTATGGGGGCAGGGTAAGATTTATAGATATTTTATCCTATTATAAAATATTTTCCATGATAATTTTTTTGTTTTTTTAGAGAGATGAAGATCAACTTCATTTTTCACTTTTTTTATACATATAAAAACAACAAAATAATAAAATTAATTTACGTGAATCACAACTTAAGTGTTAATCATTACTATTCTGTTAGTTTATTCGCAAAAATATTAAAATACATTTACACAAATAGAAAAACGGTTTTCAATAGTATCGTCTATGTTTAATTGGATATATTCACTTTGTGAATGTTTGTATTTCATCGTTACGAAGTATATGTATCTCGTAGTCGTCGCTTGCACATAAAATTTTGAACTTAATTCTCGTTTTTTATGTAGTATTCAGGACTCTCTTTATGTTGTATGTATATTTAAAAGGAAAATAAAAAAGTATGTCTTTCTTTCTTTCTTTCTTCTCGCTTTCACTCTCTATAAAATGTACGATGTTTATCTTCTGTTACTCTGTTTGGTTTTTCAATTCGGTTTTCGTTGAGTACAATTTTCTTCGATTTTTTTTTATTTACGATTTGAAATTCTATTTCTTTTATTATTCAAATCAGTCGAATGAAAATGTGTTAGTGGATCCGTTGATTGAAAGAACTGTGTTGGTATATATAATATATACTATATAGTAATAGAGTATATTTGTGATTGTGTGATTTTCAAGTATCAAGTATAGTAATATAGTATTGATTTTGTATTTTAAATAGCTCGATAGTGCGATTATTTTGAGTAAATATTTTAGTTTTTTTTTTATTTATTTTTCTTCGAAGCCTTTGTTTCACTTCATTTTATTGTGAGGTGGTCCAACGGTGTTGAAAATTTCAAATCACTTTTCATGGTTTTTTTTTTCTTATAAAAAGAAGAACCATTATACATAAAAGGGTGCTGTGTATGCGGTGTGTGTATTTGTGTATTGGTAGCTCAAGTTAAATTCGAAACCGGTTTTTGATTTATTTCTGAAAGATTTTTCATCTCTTTCAGTTCAGTAATAATCGAATAGAAAAAATAAACTTGAATGAATTAGAATTTCGTCTTTATCATTTTGTGTGGAAAAAAATGTGATTCGATTCGAGAATGTTTGGCGTACAATGTTCAACTTCACTAACCGGGCGAAAACATTTACTCGACATTTTTGGTACATTTGTCTTCTGGAAAATTCACAAAAATAGTGCAAGTATATTTATCTTCTTTTTTCACTTTCTCTCTCTCCCTCTCTCTGTGTTCATCATTTTAACTTTACTTTTTGAGGGTGGCTGCCATTTATGATGTGTGTGTGTGTGTGTGTGCAGTTTTGTATCGGAGTGCAAGTCCCCGAAATAATTTTGTGCCTGGATGGAGAGATGTGGCCTTGAGCTATCTTTTACTGAAATTGTTCGACATCATTTTCAAAACGTGCTCTTAATTTGTTTTATGTAAAACGAGGTTCCGCAGTTCAGTTCAACATGAACTATTTAATTGATGCATAATGGAATATTTCACGCTCAACGAGACAAAAGCGACCATTTTTAAATGCACATGCCCCAAATGCCGAGCGACTGACAACGATAATGAAGACGACGTTATAAATATGCACAAATATACACACACACACATTTAACAAATAAACGATGATGATGACTTTAATTAGTCTATGTACCAAAAATGTCCATTTCAGGTTCATTTATTATTCCTTTAAAGCTTTACTCAAAGCACAATATCCTTCTTAACTTTGGTGTTTTTTTAGCAACGCATTAACTTGCAATGAGGGCGGTGTATAAGTGCGCTTTCTTGACGATGCTTGGATAAAAAGAGATTATTAGATTGTGTTTGTATTTTCATTTTGTACGAAATTGTGTTCTGTCATCAGAATTAAAAATATCGTAAATTCGAGAGATTCACATTTTTACCCCTTGATTTAAGATTGGGTTATGGCAAGACTTGCTATTCGTTTTATCTTTTCTTTCATATTTAGATGATTGTATTTTCGTCTTTCATTTAAACACATTCAAATGCTTATACACTCTAAATACTATAATAATAATTTGCTTGGAAAAAATCCACTTTTATCTATCATCGTCTATTTGATTTTGTTTGGATCATGTGAAAATGTGTAGATGTTTTTGTTAAAAAATAAAAAAAACTACTTTATTCTTCTCTTTCATTCTGTCGTTCTCTCGTTCTTGTCTCATTTTCTATGTGGTAAAAATGCTCTGTTAAAAACCGTTTGATTGAATTGCTTCAATTGTATTGATTACATTTTGTGCGCGTGTTGAATATTTGTCTGTTTGGAGAAACAAGAAGTGTGTTGAGTGAAAAGTTTCAGCTGATGTCACTGTTTTCGTTTAATTTGAAAAGTTTGATTAAGAAAATATTCAAGAGTACTTCTTTGTGTGTGTGTTTTTTGGTAGATCATTGTATAACAATTAATTTCATTCGATTAAAATGTAGGGTAAAAGGTTATCGCATTACATTTTCGATCCGAAAGTGCATTAACAATTTCAGTATTCGTGTGGTGTATATAGTTGTGTAAACTTGTGGTAAACAAGTTGAGAATATGGAACTATGTAGATGTAGCTCCGATGTGTGGGCGTATTAGTTTGGACAAGGACTCATAAATATTGAGCAGAAAGTGCATTACTTCATTATGAAACATTTGTGTGATTTCTTAAATTTTGTTTATATATCTTTGACATCAAAGAGATTTCGGTCATGTTAGCAACGTGGCTATACTTTTTCGATTAGTTTTTTCACAAAAGGAAAAAGATTTAAACAGTTTTTCAAGACGAAAATAAATTCAGACTTGCAGTTTTCGGACTGGGTCCAATATATATTCAGGTGCTTAAGACTCATTAACGATTGCGAGCTGTACTGCATTCGTGTCAAGATTTAAAGAATATGAAAACATGTGTATCAATGTGTGTGTGATAGAGTTGAAAATGTGAAAGTATATTCTCCCATGGAGCATCAATATCGCATGGTTCTCCTAAAAAATCGCCGTAAAATAACATACACGACTCTGTGATACCATTGAATCATATCTGAGCCATTCGTGTGTGAATACACTCTTTAAATTTACTCTCCATCGCTATTTGGTTGCAAAAATATATATTATATGTATAATATGTTTTATCATGTCTTGTTGTGTATAATAGTTCAATAGTACTTACAAAATAACTTTTAGCTGCATTTTCACTTAATTTTGAATAGCTATTATGTACAATAGTGATTTTAAGTTTGATTCTGAACTGATATTGGCGTTCATGTAGCCCTTTTAATCGCATATTGTGCATACATCAATTGTTAGCTTTTGTGTGCACTTAGTGGTGGAAAACTAAATGCCATGCTCAAATCGTTCAACATTTATAATTCCTTATTACGTACTCAATTCAACGATTTTCCATTTAAGATGTGAACATTTAAGTATTTATGTGTGTTTGTGTCTATTGAATAATCTTCTGCCATTATAGTAATCGAATATGAATTGTAAGTGCTTCGTGTTCCGTTGCCAAAATTGAAAACGAAAAAAAAACATATTATTATCCTCATCAAAATTTGAGTTTTCAGATATTCATGCAGTTTACGGATTAAAACTTGTAAAAACATCCAATTTCAAGTATTTTGTAATCACTAATAGAGACTCTTGTCAAAAGAAAAGGATGAATTGTGAATAAAATTCGTTCCGCAAATTGCACACTTTCGATAAAATAATTGTGAAATATTAAAGTGGATTTGAAAAACTTCAAGCCAGGAAACAAAGTTTCAAAATTGAATGATTGAAATTTGAAAGTACCCGAAAATAATAAGAAAAAAAAGAAAAACCAACACACGACGTTGGCCGTCGTCCAGTTGATTAATGAAACCAATTGTGGCTTTTCAACTACAATGTCAAAAACCATCGGAGAATGCATTTTATAGTGTCTATCGTTCATTCACTCGTCACTATCTCTCTCGCTCTCTCACTCTATCGCGTCCATCACTATCTGTGTATTCTATTCACAAGACCAAAACTTTCAAATCGGAAGAGTAATATCGTTGCAACACAACGCACATCAAACACTGTCTACCACGAAACATAGTGTCCATCAATGCAGAAACTTTTGAAATTTCAATCGCAACAAATTAAAAGAGGTTTTCGAAATCATGAATATATGAAATATAATCATGAATAAATAAAGATAGATAGAAAGAGCGAGAGAGCGAAGGAATTATGCGGATTTCGTCGAAAATGGCTTGCATTTTCACCAATCCAAATATCAAGTGTGCAATTTAACTTTGCAATTTGAATATCTAGATTTGGCTTTTTTTAACGATGCTCTCAGTCTCGTTCTCTTTTCATCTCTCTCTCTCTCTATCTCTCTCTCTATCTCTCTCTCTATCTCTCTCTCTATCTCTTCTGTGTGTGGAAAACTTGATGATAGAATAATCATAATTTTATTGTGATTTCGTGATAGAATTGTGGATAATGGCTTTGGATGATGCGACGATAAAATAAATCAGAATAAAACACCAATATGCACATGAGCCATATACAGGCAAATGCATCGCACAAAATATACTACTACATATTCATAATAATTAATTCGTTTAATTTTGATATGGTCGCAAAAATTGTGATAAAAACTAAAATGTCTGGTAAATTCCCTGTGCAAACGTGAGGGTCGTATTTTGTATTAGCTCTCGTTTCTGAATGGTGAATCGAAAAAAAAAATCGAAAAAATATTTATCTCTGTGATAGCAATATTATTCATAAATAATGTATGATGCTGACAAATCTATCCATGGCAAAAAAATCAAGGGCAATTTGTAAAATTCATAACTGCATACGGGACGTTATAAAAAATGCACATTTTGCTTCTGTCAAAAAAATGAGCGTCAAAAATGGCAAACATTATATATTTTTGTATGCAAAAGCAAAGGATTTGTTTTTGATCAAATGGACAAGGATTTGGTTTAATATTACTTTTCTTTATCGAATTTAAGTTTTAAACAAAATGAGCATTTTTTGCATCCAATAACTAATATTTGGTAAATATATTTACTTAGGTGTACTTCAAGACGATCGATAATTAGTACATATATATAGTAAATTGGGTCTGTGAAATCTTGTTTTATTTACACCATTCTCTCTTTTAAATTAATTAATTGACTAGGCATTTAAAATATCATCTATACTTCTGCTTTATTTGGGTCTTTAGCACTCGTACGTACGCATTCATCATGTTTTTTTTCTCTTTCGCGTCCAACACAAATATATATATGTATGTATGTATATTTATATATAAATACATTTTTTTGGTTTATTTATTTATTAGATAAAAACAATTGTTTCTTGCCTAAGCTCTGTGCCATATATTTATTTAAATCGATTATGAGAAATTCTAAATTTCTCTTATTCTCACTTCACACATAGTTTTGACGAAAAAAGTAGCACCTCTCTTCGCCAAGAAACGTTTTCGTTTGCTTATGCAATGATTTTGTGCTCGTCTCTGTATATCTCAATATAATAATTTAAATTACATTTACCTTAAGGTGTCACTTTCTAAAAAATATAATAACGATTCGCTGCGCGTTACACATGCAATTTACATAAACAACATCATAATTCAATATTCATTTTAACTATGGAACTTCTTTTTTTTTCATCCGGAGAACACATAACATTAGCTTTCCGTTTAAAATGTATATTTTAGAGGTGTTATTTTTTAAATTCATATCGTTTACGCCATCATTTTATGGTTTTTTTCTGTACCAATTTTAATAATACTTTAAATAGTAAATGTCTTCACTATTAATGTAATCATAGTTGATTGAGGATTTTTCGATTATTAAGTGTTTCAATGTGAGCTTTTCTGTAAATCTTTATGCTTTTTTTTGTCATTATTTTTGGTTGGTTTTTGTTTCACTCGAATTACATATAGGCTTATGTTTTTTGTTTCGTCTTTAAACGGAGATTTGTTGTTTTGTCTTTGTAAACGACCTTTTTTTTCGCGAAAAGCCGCTGCATTTGGTGTGGATTCTGTTTGGATTCAACGAAAAAAAACGCGTCCATGAAAAATATGGATTATATGTATAATCCTGCCATTTAAAATACAAGAAGAACACGATGCTTATGTTCCGTTTACTGCAAACATTCAAACTCTAATTTGTGGTTAAATTATGTGTGTGTACATTTTGTTTTTCGGTTGTTGTCTTACTAAATTCATACCGATTAGGCTGGTCACTGTCTGTGAATTGTTACCGGATACATTTATATATGATAAAAAAATATTCTTGTGTTGATTGTGAGTCCCACGCGTACATTACCGTCGTCACCAAACCGAAACATAAACAGATAAAAACAAAACAATATCCTCCAGATCTCATTTTCAGCGGCTTTCTCGTTCACATTTTTTTTTTGTTCATTCACTGTGCGTTCTCATTTTCATATTCACTCTTCAGTCCGGCAATATCTTCATTTTTTTATGTGTCGCTGAGGTGTTTGGCTTAATTACTTGCACATTTCCGTAATATAATAATAATAGCATAACGAACAAATATAAAATATACCCGCGAACATTGTTTACTTGATAAGGAACTAAATGATGTGCTTTTTGTATTTAAAGTACGAATCATAATTGCATACACAATCGACGACAATTGCGGTCTGTTACCGTTCTATTGTTCTCACTTTCTCGCATTCTCTCTCTCTCTCTCCACTCCCTGTGGCATCATTCATCGCGTCATCTTGTTAGCGGCGCCGGTTTTACGATCCAAACCATAATACAATTCACACCAATGAATTGAGGGAGATAGGAGTTGGGGAAGAGGCGCACATTATTCTCTCACTTCATATACATAATGGATGGTGAGAGAGAGATAGAGGGAGGAAGAGAAAAAAAGCATAAAGAACTGTTGTCATTTTATTATTTACTTCATTTGTCCTTCTTTATTTTAATAGCCACTTAATGGAATTTAGTTTTGATTTTGATACGTTTCCGTCTGAGTTGCTTTCAACACCGTTTAACTGTATGCTCATAAATCGTTTCAAGCACATTATTCACTTTCGTTGGCTGAAATATGTCAGATGTTTCATTTTTCGTAAAACACTATGTCTTGCGAGTTTGCTTAACGCTTTTATGCTCTTCTGTCTTTCATTTCGATGAATATATTTATTTTCACAAATATGCACAAAATTCACTCACTCAAAAACCATTTTCCGGTGTGGATGTGCGTATTGTGTTCCACTTGGCTAGTATATGTGTCTGTTCTTTCGCACACAAAATAACTTCAGCCATTCATTTCGTCGGTTGGCTTTTCTTCAATACATATTTGGATAACCATTAATCACATTTTACTGCAAATCTACACATTTATTAGTAATTTATTTTGCTTTTGTTCGGTTGAGCGTTATTTTATTGTTATTTGATTCATTTATTATTATTTTGTGACTTTGTCGATTTTTTTGTTGTTGCTGTTTTTGTTATTTTATTCTCTCGTGCTAATAATGATGATGATGATGATTTTGAATCTATTTATTTTATGCGCGATAATGATGATGGCCGCGATTACGAGACGATGATATGGGGTGCACTTGCCAGCACAGCAAATGTTGCCAGCACCGTAAACAATGTGAATACGATCAAGCAAAACCTGTAATAAAATTAAAAGACGATGAAAAGAGGAACGGATCAGCATAAATGCCATACAAAAACTCATGCAAAAACTTCATGGCAGAAGAAAGTAATTAATTTAAATGTCAGTGATGATGATAAAATTAAAGAGGATAGTTTCTGGGTTATTATGCAAAATCGAATTCATTTTTTTTCTCGTCTTTAGTTTGAATTTCTTCAAGCTCACACAATCCGTCTTTGACTTTATTCATTGCACATTTGCCAATTTTATACTGCATGCCTTCAAAATGCACAGTATGCCTTATGAATGTGATGGCAAATATTCAAAGTACAAAGTACACGGGTTTATCACGGACACATTTTCTGCGAATGTGTCTGTGTGTGTATGGCGACGATGAAGAAGACGGTGGCGGCGACGGTAAACTAAATGAGTTAAACCTCTGTATCTTAATCGGTGGATGTTGAACATTTTGTAACGATTTTGGCATTGAAACAAATTGGATAATTAGAGCAAATAAGCGGTAATTGAGTAAATTGTATAATTGTCATACCTGTCGACAACCATTGCCGCAAACTTCCAGTCACTAACTAATTCAGCTTCATCGTCTGATCGTCGCATTCGAGCCGTTATGAATTGCAATTCCTTTAATATTGAATGTAGATCTCTATGATTACAATTCGAACTATGGTGCTCTTCAACCGTCGTTGGTCTTCCGAAACTGTAGCGTGACAGAGCCAAATAGATACAAAAAAAGAATACAGTGAAATATACATATGTACACATGCATCAATTAAATCGAACATGGACCATTTTATGAACGGCAAATGAACGAATTAAAAATTCATGAAAAAAAATGAATCGAAAAACATACCTTGAACCAATCGCTGTTTGCGATGAATTGAGGCCTTGATGCCGAAAATCATCTTCAATATCGAGTACATTGGCAAGTAGTGATTTCGATGAACGCTCTTTTAATTCTAATTCTTTCATTCGATTTGATATTAAAATTGATTTTCTAGTTATCTTATGACCCGGCCGTGACATTCGTAATATCCAAGGCAACCACATCAGAAATAGTGTTCTTATCTGTGCTCGTGTCAAACAAATAATGAAAAGAGGATAAAAAGAAAGAGAGAGAGAGAGAGAACAGAAATTATTTATTAATAAAGAGCACGCAACGATAATTATTTTTTTGATAAATCCAATTTGCAATCGAATTCTATTTAACCAAAGGTTTTATGTTGGAACGCACACGTTCACTTCGTCAGATACATGTTTATGATGTAACGAATTGTTTTTGGTCCATTGAATGAAAAAAAAAAACGTAACCAACAACCAACAGCGCATTTGTACATAATGAATATCGATTTCGATTGCAACCGATTAAATTAAATGAAAATATAAAAAATATATGTATATAAAATCGAGAGAGTAAAATTCCATTTTACCCATGGCGGCATTTCATGTATGTCGGCAGTTCGATGATGATAGTTAAGCACGACGACCGTCAGCACAACCGATGACGCTACCATAAACATGATGCAATTGAAATATGTGCCTATTATAATGCAAACGAAAGTATACACCGACAATACGTCGACAAAATCCAAAATAAATAATGAGTACACGATTTATGATTGATGCGATGAAATCATATCACAGCGAGATAAAGTGAAAGGATGAGTCGTCATCAACCGCAGAGTATTCACAGAATCCATAAATCCAATAATTGTGTGCACAATTGAAATCGAATACGTTCGTTCGGTTACAAAACAACAAAAAAAAGTGAAAAAAAGAGAGAAGAAAAAAATGTATTAGTTTACTGGTCTTTTGGTGAAAACAATTCAATGCATGGCGCTAAATCTAATTTATAGGGAGTGAAAATATTCAGTTTTCTTTTTTTTTTTTTTTTGGTTTCTGTATGCTATCGTTGAAAACAATATCCAATGTGAAAACGAGAACATTGTGCGTAACATCAACTCAGATGTCCAATTTTTAATTGAATTATTTAAAAGTTTCGAAAATAACGAAAAACTTTGATAGGATCCATTTTCAAATCGGACCAAAAACGACGCCAAAGTAAGAAAGACAGTGACACAATTTCCATTTAAAATTCTGACAATATTCTAAACTTCACATTTGATATTGCTTTCTCGTCCCATAAAAAATGTGTATCCAAAATGTGTATACATTGAATGGTGAGAAAAACTAACTAAACGAATGATATTATACATATATATACATTGAATACGAAAAAAACTTCAACATTTATTCAGACATTTACAAATGGGCTAACAGAAACACGTAAACCGATTTTTATATTACATTATACAAAAAAATGCACAGTATTTACACATACACAGAGATGGAAGAAACGAAACAAAAAACAAACGAAATGAAGAGGTTTATGCGTGATGATAATATTTGACAACATCGACACATCAAACAGACATAAAGTAATAAGAAAAGTTTTTTTTTTACAAATAACATCGCAAAACTCACACGGGTATAAAACAACTAAAACAGCATCAACAACAACAAACAGAGAAAACAGAAAATGTGGTGAAAATGCTTGGAAAAAAAAATTGTTGGAATTTAAAGAAAATATGACAGAAAAACAATGTAAAAAAGCTCAAAAGAATGCAGGAGTTTTTCGCAGAGCGATAAAATACAGCCGCAAAGTTATGTGAATTATTACTAAGTATTATTTACAAAGTCAATAGAAATGATGAACAACAACAACACAAAAAATGAACGGTTTTTTTGTTCATAAATATAATTTATTTAGAAAGAAATGAGCGTATGATATAAATTCTATGTGTACATTGTATGCACGCCGATGATGGGTGATGTGCGAATATCGAATGACTAAAATTTATTGCTTAAATTTAATAAATTGATCTAATAAGACATGATAATATTATTGCAGCAATCATAACGAACAATATCAGTAACAATAAGTACACATTCACTCACCAAACAACAATTGACATTTCTTTGGTTCATTCATCATACAACATACATACTATATAGATTCTATCACAATTTAGTATAAAGACATACACTCTCCGGATGAGTGCGGAGTACTCGTGTACGAGTGCCATAAGTCAATTACATCCTATTATATTACATTTTATGCTAAACATTTACTATTCAAATTAAAACGGCAACCGAAAATATATACTGATTACAATGATTTACAGAAAAAAAAAGACGAGGAAAAAAAATCAACCGCATTTGCTTCATTCAATCACACGCTCACTCAAAAGAGAAGAAATGACGCTGGTGACACGCCACTCAAATTACCCGCTCGTAAAAAGCACACTCACGCATATACTGAAAGGGAGGGGTATTAAAGGATACAGCAAGAAAAAAAAAAGAAATCCTTTCATTAATTTTATTCAAACATATTCATTTTTATTTAGATGAAGAAAAGTGCCAGCAACTAAGTAATAACAATGTAAAACATTTTGCGCGCTTTTGGATCTACGATATACATGATGTGATATGTGATGTTAAGTGCTTTTGCTATTCCGCGTTACAAATGGAAGTGTATATATTTATGAAAAGAAATGAAAGAGAATGGGATCTAATCGTCCCGTCAACAATATTCATATCATCGCAAAAATATGCATGACGAAATGAGAAAGTGTGAGTGTGTGAGGGAGCGAGAGAGAGAGAGATTGGAGCAAAACATGTGTGAATGGTATTGTTTGGGTAAACGGCTGTAGCAGCTGCTTGTTTACCAGCCTTCCAAATCTAGTTTATTGAGTGTAATCGCTTCATTCGCTGTACATTATAACTTGAAATGACATAATATGCATGCTTATGTTAAGAGATATTTAGTCCAGGTATGTGTGCATGTGTGTTTGTTTGTTTGTATGAAATTTATGTGTCGCCCAGTACCATTTCTATCTTTAACAATAATAATCTTTTTCTTTCATTTACCACATCGGATGAATGTGTGCAGTGTGTGTGCGCTTTGCATTTCCATCTAACCGAAATCTGTCGAAATGTAGAAGATTTGCGAAACGCTTCGTTCGATCAAAACAAAGCGACACACACACACAACAATATCTAACAACAAATAATGGTGTTCGTTTCGCTTTCGAATTTATATTCGGCGTGTCTATTCAAATAAGGGCTTTTGATACTTGCTCACTCTGTCTTCCACTCACTTCTAAACCAAAATGTAGTCACAGTGTGCATCATCAGTACATTATTATGAAGTCAACCGATTGTACACGTATTATATTAATTCAGGCAGATGTGTGGATTTCTCGTATCGAGCATACCAAGCACACCAAACGATGTTGATGTAACAAGCACACCAAACGATGTTCATGATGTGCATTGCACAATTCGCAAAAAGCTCATCACTCGGCTTACTGATATGTCCACAGATTGAGAACCGAGTAAACTAGCTTCTGTATATCAAATAATGCAATACACAAAATGTACGTGCATCAAGTATATTTTCAAAACGTGCGCGCTCGCACACACACACACACACCTTCTTGACAAATTGAGCACATATTGAAAACAAACAGCAGCGATTTACTTCACATCCCAATTTCCTCAAAAATATGGATGAAATATATATTATATATGTATGTGTATGTATTTATATTTTTGTAAATCTTATCAAAATCGTATTTACACAAGTGATATAAATCACTAAAGTTTTCGACGATGTACGACCAACGACGAAAACGAAAACGACGACAAAGTGCATTTTGTTTATGTGAAGGCCAAAATCTATTCTACATCAGTTAGTGTGTTACGATATCCGGCAATCCATAAGTGTATGGGTTGCATTTACATGGAGATCTTACTTCGTGTACATTTCGAATAAATGTGGTGTTCAACGATACAAGAAAATTGTGTATATTTTTGAAATGCTATTAGACGACATATATGCATAAATTTAGTGCAATTCCGATCTAGTACTTATGAATTGGCTTTTTGATATGTTTATAAGTGCAAGTTGTTTAAAAGAGAGTGAAACTTTTATTCAATATTTCTACAATCTTCTTTGCTTATCCCTCTCATATTGAGAGAAAATGAGTTTTCTCAGTGAACAATGAATATTATGTGTATATAGTATAATTATAATAATAATAATAATAATAATGAAAATGGAAAATGTGTGTAGATATTCATATTTGCATTTATATTTCTATATTTTTATATTTATATATTTACAAACAAAGTTGTTGGTTACATATGTTTTATTGTAAGTGAATGTTAATGTTCTATTTTTCAATGTGGCAGCAAGTCGTAAAACTTGGGTGTTGTTTTATTCGAAAGTGTAAAATGTAAATATGTGAGTTTTGTTGTTTTTATTTTATTTTTTTGGGTCGAATGTTTTATAATATCTCCGAGTTGAATATAATTTAAAAATATTTTTTCTCAATTTATTTGGTAATGGCCGTTATTGAAATGCATGTGTCGAAAATGTGTAACAGCAAGAACAATTTAATTAATAATTTCGAGAGAAAATTTGCCCAAAAATAACAAAATACGTGCGTTTTGATCTCATCAAATTTCATTTGCAAAGTTGTGTGTGTGTTTGTGTGAATGAGTCAGAAAAAGAAAAAAGTGCGAGTGAGTTTCATATGTTTCCATTTTACTGTGTGGCTCACACCATTACCAAACACCGACGACGGTAATTTTCTTCACGCAATTTCAGAGACATACATACGCATTTGTAATCTAAGCAATAATTTTACACCATCGTTGGCAAGAATAAGAGAAGATGAGAACAACAACATCAACAACAAAACAAAAAAGAACAATTTTCCCCAATTTCAACGAACATGTCACACGAACAAAAACTTTTCGCACCACCAACATGCATTCCGGACGATGAACGCTAAACTTCTAGCAGAATGTGTCGTGAGCTAACGCTCTTTGAACCATTTGTTTCCGTCCATTTTGCACCCACCGAACAACCAGCATTTTCAGCATACGAAACGGATATGAATCCAAGAACAAAATGGTTCAGGTATACAATTTTCACCAAAAAATGAACATAGCCAACGAAGTTACCAACGTATAAAACAATGGACGCAATCAAGAGCGCTCGTAACATCCATTAAATGAAAAAAGACGATGAAAAAAAGAATAATATATATAATGACTCTCTCTCTTTCTTTCTCTCTCTCTCTCTCTCTCTCTCTCTATTCAAATGTGTGTGTCATTTTGCAAATATTCAATTGTATATACTCGTTATCCTTTGAAGCAGTACGCAATGGCTAGAGAGAAAATAAAATTGGAATGAATATAATGCGGCCAACAATTGGGCTTTTTGTTTGCGTGGTCATTGGTCCCCATCATTTTTAAGAACATTGAGATGTGACCGATGACTGTTTCATATTTTTTGCGGGATCATTCATTTGATGGTGCAGAGCTCAATGCTTGTCTCACATTATTTTTAGATCATTTTATAATTTAAATGTATACAATAGTCCATGGAATGAAAAAAGCATGTGTATGATAGAAAGAATAAAGCGAACGAGAAAGAAAAAGAGAAATACAGACAGAGGGAGAAACAAA